GATGCACTAATACATGTATTGCTCAAGCCCATCCCCTATATATGTAGTCATCATTGCTATTGCGCAATTCAAGCCCATCCCGTCGCCATCAAGACTTGTCTCCCGAGGTAGTAATTGCGCCGACAAAGGAGGAGAAAGAGGGGAGCGCACGGCTTTAGGCACGTGCATGAACTTCTCATTGGTCTTTCGCCAAAACCCCGGCATTACCATCAAAGGTAGTGCAACTCGCCCGCAGCCATGGCTGTCGGCTCTAGTCCCATAACATGCAGCGTACCCGATGACGTGCTACACCACGTGTACTGCAGATGGGCTATCCTGGATCTCGGGTGAGATTGATATACCCCAGACTTCCAAGCGAGCAGTGCTGAAGTCTATTGTACATCTTGTCCGGAGCACTTTCCAGTTTGATAGCCTTGTGTCCAGAATTTTATCCTGCTTGTCAACCGAATCCATTGTCCTCTTAGCTGCCCAGGATGCCTTCTGTAGAGCGCGTCAATGCCGAGGATGAATACGCCGCCAGTGGCACACGCATCTTCGGCGGAAACGCCACCGCCAGGTCGAGACTGTTAGAACCATTGGTGTACTCTGGATCATTGGACAGCTACAAGCACCAAGATTTGACACCAGCCATTGGTCGAGAGTTTGAAGGACTTCAAGTGACCGACTTGCTTCAGGCAAGCGATGCTGTGATTAAAGATCTAGCCGTCACTGGTCAGTCATTGCACAGACTATAGTGAAGCAGTAGTTGACTTGTCTTTACAGTCTCCCAGCGTGGAGTTGTTTTCTTGCGCAATCAAGATGTCACTCCTAATCAGATGCGAGACCTCATGTTGCGATTGACTGAACTCTCAGGATGTGTATGTCCCAAGACATCAACACCACTATATCAGCAAGGCTAATCCTTCAATAGCCCTCATCATCCGGGCTCCACGTCCACCCCCTCACAGAAGAAGGCTCCGAACTAGGCGACCAAATCTCCGTCATCAGCAGTGAAAAGCAAAAGAAGGGCGGCGGCCTCACTCACCAACTCTCAGACGTAAGCCGCTTCGCATCAGCAGGATGGCACAGCGACATCACCTTTGAGCCCGTACCCTCCGACTACGCCATGCTCAAGATCCACACTCTCCCCGCCACCGGCGGCGACACCCTCTGGGCGTCTGGCTACGAAATCTACGACCGCCTCTCCCCCGCCATGCGCACATTCCTCGAGGGCCTCACTGCAACCCACGATGCAAAGTTCTTCCTTGACGAAGCAGAAAGACTCGGTAACCCGCTTCGAAAGGGCGTCCGTGGTAACCCGCTCAACTACGGCGATGCACTTACAGCCGTACACCCCGTCATCCGTACAAACCGTAAGTCTCAACTTTATCCCGAACACTCCCTTTTCGTGGTTGTTCGAGTTACCACTCTGAAATTTACTAACGCCCATACCCAGCGGTAACCGGCTGGAAATCCGTCTACGTAAACAAAGGCTTCACCAAACGTATCAATGGCATCACAAAAGACGAATCCGACCTCCTCCTCCCTTACCTCTTCAACCTCGTCACGCAAAACCACGATGCGCAGGTGCGCTTCAAGTGGAACAAGAACGACCTTGCTATCTGGGATAATAGGAGTACCTGGCACTGCGCTACGTACGATTATGTGGAGGCGAGGGCGGGAGACCGTGTGGCGAGTTTGGGGGAGGCGCCGTATTTGGATTTGGGGAGTCGTGGGAGGCGGGAGGCGCTGGAGGGGAAGTAGATTGGTGGAAATATAGATGGGTGGTCATGTGCATAGAAGCTCTCCCAATAAGAAAACCAAAAGGCGTGCAATATGCAAATTGATTGAAGTCAAATCTCACTACTAGTGTGTGTAACCCCGGGGCATTAGCGTCACGAGTCAGATTTCGCAATGTTCACCCGAACCACACTTCCTCACTCAGACATGGCAACACCAAACGTTAAGATCACAGCACATCATGCCGAAGTAGACTTATGCTTCACGGGTATTATCTCACATCAAGATCTCACAGAAGACTCAAAAAAAAAGTTCAGTAAACAATCTCATTTCGTGTTCCGCTCATATCGACCGTAACTGGATATCATCAAGGCGCAACAAAACAACCAAAAGACAAAACATATCTAAGTCTACTGAAGACCCTTGAGGATATCATCCGCTGCCTTCTCCGCAACCATGTAGGTCGAAAGCGCAGTGAAGGTACCCGGAATCTTGGGGAAAACACTGGCATCCACAACCCTCAGGCCCGCAACACCGCGAACATTGAACTTGGAATCAAGCACAGCCATCTTGTCGTCGTCGGTGCCAATGGGGCAAGTGGAAGAGGCGTGATGGCCCCAAGCAGTGTCCTTGGCGTACTGTGCGATCTTCTCGGGGGTGTTGACGGAAGCGCCGGGGAGGACTTCCTTGACTGGGACAAGCTGGCGGCGGAAAGAGTCGCGGGCGAGGTTTACGGCTTCGGTGAGGGCAGTGAGATCCTTTTGGTAGTCGCCGGCGCCGGTGTCGAAGTAGTTGTAGGTGATGTCGGGCATGTCGAGGGGATCGGCGGAGCGAAGGGTGACTGTTCCGGCGTTGTTGCGCGGGTGCGCCTTGAGGATTGCCCAGGTGAACCAGTCGTGCTCGTTGGTAGCGTTGAATGCGTAGCCGGGGAAGTAGCCACGGAAGTTGACTGGGCCGCCGAAAGCGAAGATGTCATAGTCGTTGTTATCAGCCACGCTCGACTGGTAGAGCATGGTGGCGCCAAGTCCAGGGGAAGCGTAGATGCCGCGGTTGCCTAGGATGGGGGAATTCCAGCGGTCAATGCATTTATCGGCGGAGCTGCCATCAAAGGTGCAGCCGTCGAGCGCTGAGAAATTGGAGCTGGCTTTGCCCTGGACGTTAATCTCGTAGTGGTCCTGGAGGTTGGTACCTACACCAGGGCGGTCGGCGATGACGGGGATGTTGAACTTCTTCAGCTCGTCGGCAGGTCCTACACCACTGAGCTTGAGAAGCTGGGGAGAGTTGTAGGTTCCACCAGCGAGGATGACTTCACGAGATGCCTTTGCAGATCCGGGGACTCCAGTTGCGCCAGAGGACTTGGGGCTAGCCTTGTAGAGGTACTGGCCGTCAAGGAACTCAACACCAGTAGCGCGGGGAGGGGAGACGTCCTGGTCGAAAAGAACCTTTGTGACGTGGCAGTTCAGTCTAACGTCGAGAGGGTACCTCTTGGTGCCATTTGTATGCTTAGCATCGCGAACGGCCAGGACGAATTCGCGGGATCCAGTGCGCTTGCCACCGTTGGTGGAGAGGGGGATCTGGTAGAGACCAGGGCCAGCATCGCGTTCTTTGGAGTCGGCGTTGGCATCACCAGCGATGAGAGTGGCAAGGTTGACAATAGCCTTGGTGGCATTGCCAAGGGCAAAAGCAGCACCACTAACGAGGCTGAGGAGCTTAGGGTCGCTGGTGACAATGTCAATGGGTGCGTATTCGGTGTTGAGCCAGCCCTTGTAGCCATGGGCTCCCGTGCCGGGAATAAGATACTGGTTCTTCTCCAACTTTTCGAAGTACTTGCGCATGTTGGAAGGCGCCCAAGAATCATCCCCAGTGAGCTTCTGGATGTTCTCAAAGTCAGACTGGTGGGGATAGACGGCAATGAGAGCGTTGTGAGCTGTGCAACCTCCGAGGGTACCAGTACGGGGGTATAGAGTGCCCTTCATGGTGGAGCCTTCGGGTGGGCTAAGACCAGTGTACTCGCCGCCGTCGAGAGTCGCATAGCTGGTCTTGAAGTCGCGAGCCTGCCTCGTCTCATCGGCGTAATGCTTAACGTAAAAGTTCCAGCTGAGGTTGGGGTCCTCGGAAGACCTGGCATTGAAGGCTGGCACAGTGTAGTTGACATTGGCACCCTGATCGTCGCCAGCCTCGATGAGAAGAGTCTTGTGGCCGGCGAGGGCTAGGCGGGCGGCCAATGGCTACAATAAGTCAGTGACCATGTTATCTAAGCTCATATGTTTTACTTACGCCACCACCGGCACCCGAACCAACCACAACGTATTCATAGCCGGTCAGATCGACAGCCTTGGCGAGCGAAATGAAGGCTGCGAAAGAGCCAAGAACACGTGGGAAGAGCATAGTGATTAGGTATTATTAGTTGCCGAGGCGTAGTTTTCAAAAGAATGACAGAGGCTGGAGAGGTGCCTGCTTGCTTGTGCTAGATGGAGTATCGCAAGACTTTATATCATCCGAATCGTGTCAACGGCGTCATCCGAGTGCCCCCTTATTGACGCGGCAGAGGCGATGAATGCAGCAGGCGGAAGGGAAAATTATTGGTCGCATATTCGTACCGTCCTAGTGGTGCTCAATAGTCGCGGTTTTTGGTCTCTTCTAGGCCAGCAAGATAATGCCTATGAAGAAAGCCTGTCTGTAGATCATGCGGGTACTGGTAGGGATCATGGCGGGTCGCAATTTACGGTTCGTGAGGAGAGCATTTCGTCCGAACTACGCCACCCACCGTTTGCGATACCCGAGGGATTCAGTGTGCAGTGAAGGCTCCCAATGGCATGGGAAGTGCTCCACCAAAAGAGCCAAGCGCTGCGTGGTGCAAGCACTTTGGGATTGCTTTACACAGTAGTAACCACGCATAGCCTGTGTCTTCTCGACAATGCTGCTCGCTTACAACACGAGACAGTGAACATGTGCTCCCCGCGACAAGAACACACCTTCCCCTTTGTGCTTGTCGCCGATGCTGCGCCCCTGGTTCACGAATGACATTTTCCCTGTAAGGAACATGGCCTTATTCTCGGTCATTTCCCGACTGCCGGAGGTCCCTCCCGAAGCGGGAGGGACTTGTGGAGTAACGGTTCAAGGATAACGGACACTAATACCAAAGCCACGCTAGCCGCAACGTGCACTGTAGGCTTTCTGGACCTGTACTTGATAATGAACTGAGCATGAGCACCAGTAGACCACGTGGCTATGCGAGTTGCCGATTTCAGGCCCCGCAATGATGATGATATTCCTTGTAAGCGACGTTGACAAAATGGTTGAACAGGCGTCGTCGTCTTCATCTTCGTCTTCCTTTTTGTCCCTCTCCTTCTTCGCCACACAATGCACCAACCTGACTCGCTTGCCGCCACCTAAACCGATAGAACTACCCATAAAAACGCCATGTTGAACTCGGCATTCGGTTCGAATTCACTACTCCTGCACTGCTTCCCCTAACAGTATGTGTCAAGACCCCCCGCAGCAGTGTCTTAGACTCTTCTTTTTCGCTTCCTTAGCGCCTAAGGCTCCCCGGGCCACACAGCATCCGCGATGCTCCTGACAAGCTGCAATTTCTTCCTCATGTCTTCATAACCCAATGCATTACCTTCAGCGTGTGATGCAAAACCACATTGTGGGCTAACGCAGCACTGTTTGAGCGCGTCCTCGCGTGACTGACCAGTGCCCTTTGCAATCCAATCCGCAGCCTGGTTGACTCTGGCAATCATCTCGTCCTTGTCTTCGAGCTTAGGGAACTTGGAGGTGATAACGCCTAGGACAACATTCTTGCCTTTTGGAAGATGCTCTAGCGGCTCAAAACCTCCGGCGCGAGGTGTGTCGTATTCAAGATAGTAAGTGTCAACGTCGAGATCCTGCCTCAGTTAGCATACCCATGCCATCGATTGTGGGTACTTCAGTACCTGGAATAGCTTCTTTGCGATAAGGTCATAAGCGCCTTCACTGAAATGTCGGCTTCCGACATAGTTGCCGCGGCACAAGTGAATGCCGAGATGCATGTCCGCGGGCCGCTCGAAGCACTTATTGTAGAACTTTACATACGAGTCAAACATCTCGTCGGCAGTCTTGCTGTTTGTCTTGTCTGCTTTCCAGCCCGCCAGCATGTCGTCAGAGCAAAAATAGGCAAGATTGGGGTCGTCAATCTGGATATTCCTGATTCCCTGCGAGTGAAGGATCTTGAGCTCCTCTTGATACGCCTTGGCAACATCGTCAAAATACTCCTCGTCATTCGCGTACACCTCTTTAGGGTAGGCTGAGCCATTCATGTAACGGAAATGGTACCAAGATGGCGAGATGAGCGTGATTTTGATGTTCTTCCATTCGCTTTCAGGAAGCAGGCTCTTCATCAAATCAACTTCTCGTTGGTTGCTGGATTTTCCAGGGTGTCTAATCTTGTCGACGCAGACAGTGACGTGGTTGGGTACTTCCTTTGCTTCCATAAACGACTTGACGTCCGGCGCATAAGCGCGAAACATATCCTTGTTGTAGCCCTTGAGGACGCCAAGCTGTAGCTCTTTCATGCCGTGAAGTGTTTCAAAAAAGGTACCCCAGAACATATGCCTGGTTCTAAAGTTAGGCCAGGTCTAGACTGACGTTATGCAAAGCTACTGACCTAGTATACTCGCCGCTCGAGACGACCTTGAGTCCGCAATCCTGCTGGAATTTGACCACCTCTGCAACAGACTTGTCTTCCAAAGGCACAAGCTCGTCTGGCTGAGCTTTGCCTGAGGCGACATCGTAACGCTTTTGCACAAGCTCCTGGGGACGGAGCAATGAGCCAACGTGCTCAGCGCGGAAAGGTGGGCTTCTCTTGAGGGACGCCATGTTCAGTTTGACAGTGTAGGTATAGAAGAGAGCAAGAGATGAGAAGGTAGCAGGTGCCTGGCGAAAAAATGGCCCCTCATCTTGTCGGCTTGCCCCGCATGGGGGACCTGCATTCAACGCTCATCGAGAATTACTGGATCTTGTGACAGCGTAAGCATACCCGATTTAGTGTTGGCGAAACGAAGCTAAGTCTCACCTAGCACAGTGAACGTTGGTCGGATTGGAAGGGCGAGATGAAGTGGCGGGCGGGGAAGGGGCCTATGTGGGAGGCATCTCAAGTTGCAGGTGGGGCCTTTTGCGGATATGATGAGGAAGGCATGGCTCGGAGTTAATGGCGCTCCGTACGGACAGTGCCCTCAACCGTCGACTAACCTGACGTTTTACACGATGAGTCTGTACACGTTTATACATATTTGCACGCCCATTCAGTCAGCCTGACAGAAACACTACACCGGTCCGGTCCCAACACTGGCTGCAACCCAAGCTTGTATCCGGCTCCCGGACTCAACGCCTGATTTGTTGGCACGCGACGTCTGCTCCGGAGCGCGTACTCACAGGGGCAGTGCTAACCACTCAACAATGAAAATCTGGCTGTGCTGCGGAGTCTACTGGGAAGTCCACAGTCCGTTTGGGAAGCCCAAGCAGCGTGAAGCTACCGACCAGCAGTTGTTCGCAGTACCCCAGGAGGGTGACACGAAGACGCAGTATGCCCCACCAAAAGTGTCGCATCGCTGATGACGCAATGGCACCCCGATCACTCAGATTGACAGCACGACTTTATCAGCCGTGACGCTGCCATTGCAGCCGGTAAGGGGACTAGACCTGCTATGTAATCGCGACACTCGGGACAATACTGCCCCGCGCTAGCTAGGGTATAAGAGCTACATAATACATAGGTATACATGCTGCCACGACACTTGACCTGTGGATTAGCATCTGGACACCTACTGACCCAATCGCACCAACTCCCTCCATACTATCGAAATGACGCGAGTTCTATTGACCGGAGGCAGTGGCTTCATCGCCGCACACACTCTTGATGTCTTGCTGGACCATGGCCACAGCGTTGTGACCACTGTGCGCACGCAAGACAAGGCAGATAAGATCAAAGAGTCGTACAAGAGCCATGTTGAAAAGGGCCAGCTGGACTTTGCCGTTGTCCCAGATATCGCACAGCCGGATGCTTTTGATCAGGCCGTTGTTTCAGACCCTCCATTTGAGGCTGTACTCCATACTGCCAGCCCGTTCCACTTCAATGTTACGGATGTCCAGAAAGTGAGTGCACACTACCCTCCTTCGCTAGTGTTAGACGACTCGTTAACAAGACAGGATTTACTCGACCCCGCCGTCATCGGAACTACGGGCATCTTGAAGTCCATCAAGAAGAATGCGCCAACAGTAAAGCAAGTCGTCATCACATCGTCTTTTGCCGCTATTGTGAATCCATCCAAAGGCTTTTGGCCGGGACACGAATACTCAGAGGAAGACTGGAATCCCATGACCCTAGAAGATGCGCTCAAAGATGCAGTCGCAGGATACCGAGCAAGTAAGACCTTTGCAGAGAAGGCAGCCTGGGAATTTGTAGAAAAGGAGAAGCCAAACTTCACCATCTCTACGATAAATCCGCCAATGGTGTACGGCCCAATCGTAAGTCCAAGAAAACTGCGTTGTTCGCATGGCATCGTTGACAATGATCAAGGTACACCCTCTCGACAGCCTCGACAACATGAACACATCCAACCAGCGCATCCTCGCCGCCGTCCAAGGCAAATTTAAAGACGAAATTCCCATTTCCGGGGTGCACTTCTGGGTAGACGTACGTGATGTTGCAGAGGCACACGTGGCCGCGATGGAGAAGCCCGAGGCGGCCAACAAGCGCTTCTTTGTCATAGCTGGATACTTTTCCAACAAGGAAATGTGCCAGATCATCAAGAAGAACTTCCCAGAGTTCAAAGACTTGCCCAGCGACTCAACGCCTGGCGGCGACTACCCAGAAGGTACCCCGGACAAGGGATTGTACAAATTCAACAACAAGCGGTCCATTGATGTCCTTGGCTTGAAGTACAAGACATTTGAGCAATCTATAGTCGATACTGTCAAGTCATTCCAGAAGAAGGGGTTGTAGATTAGAAATATTGCTTGGGAGGTCATGTGGGAGCTGTTAAAAGCATCTTCGATTGGCTACGTGAACTATATACGTTGCGCATCTGGATGAGCACGTCGGTGTTGGTTGTATGTATCTCGAACTATACAATGGCATGTTAGCACACCATTCGACTTGATAATGAACAATGTGAGTTGTAAATGAGCAAATCAGCCTGTTGAGCTTGATCTTGTTTTTAGACTTCACCGTCGTTGACTCGGAAGTTATCGTTTGATGATGATCATCATAATGCAAGGATGTAATAAAATTTGAGAGTGCTTACCGGTTAATTGTCTCGCTGCATCACTACCCTCGTTGTCCTGCTTCAAGGATGATGTTTTCGGGCGTTGACCAGCGATGAAGGGAGAAGGGAACGCGATGCAGAGCTTCGAAGAAAATAGAAGGCTCGGCAAAACGTCGGGCCGACGGCTTCCAAGATTAGGCAGGGCTTGCCCCACCACCGAAGCCCAGCGAACGCGGGCTGTGACAGCAAAAGCTTCCAACACGCCTTTGTGACATTGCCAAATCACTCCTCCGCCGCCGTCGCGTACCAGAGCATCTATTAAAAACTTAATCACCCTCTCGATCCGAATACCGTAGCTCTCAAAAGCTCTCAGTCATGTGTAAGTCTGCCGCTTCTACCCCGCCATCCACCCTGCCTCGATGCGCCTTTGGCAGCAGGTGTCGAGCCGTCTCCTCATAAAGTATAACATTCTTGTGGATGGATACTGGTTGGCTTGCGCTTGACCGCCGGCTCTCTGATGCTTTGTAGCTATGCGTTTCTGCCCTTGAGAGAGAAACGTCCGCAACAACTGAGACTGACTTTGTACAGCCGACTTTAACGCCATCGCCCGTATGTACCGCCCGTCACTTGAGGCTGACTGACACCCATCGGTTTTGCCTCTTGCGCTCCTCCAGTCAGACCGAGATTAACCCTTGCGCCAGAGCAGTTTGTCCAGTTCTATTTCGAGACCTTCGATAAAAACCGCGCCGGTCTCGCTTCTCTCTACGTATGCGATCCGATCTAAGCGCGTGCAACGACATCTGGCTCACAAAATTCACAGAGAGAGTCTTCTATGCTCACCTTTGAGCAAACGCCAACCCAGGGATCTGCTGCCATTGTAGAGAAACTCCAGGTAACAGCAACTCTACCCGGCAAGGAAAAACAAAGCTGACTCTTGCAAGAACCTGCCATTCCAGCAGATACAACATCGCACAGATACTGTTGATGCTCAGCCTTCCGCCGAAGATGGCATCATGGTTCTTGTTACGGGCGCGCTCATGGTGAGTAGATCTTGTCAACAACACGAAGCTTCTACTGACTCTTGATAGATTGTGGGCGAAGAAAAACCAATGAGTTTCACCCAGGCATTCCAGCTCAAGAACGACAACGGCAGCTGGTTTGTTCTCAACGATGTTTTCCGTCTGGTATACCCCGCTGCATAGGCAGCCAGCTGCTCTCGGTGGATTGGTTCCCGCTGTTGAGACTTGGGACAAAGTGTAGAGTGCTGCATAAAGTTTAAGGGTGTGGAAACAGACGGGGAATTTCTTTGGAATCTCGAGGGCTTTGGCAGACGACAATGCGAATTATAAATGAAATAAAAAAACATTGCAACGGTTATGTTTACATTATTACAGGGGCGTGACTGCAAATAATTATATTTTGTTTATATCAACTTGATGCACTAACATGTTCGGCGATATTGTTCTGCAGCGATCCCGTGGCCAACACTCCTCGTGACGCATCACATTGTTCCGAGCCTCTTCGATGCGGTTCGCCATCGCACGTGAGCCGGAAAAGACCTTTGCCGCAACTTCTCCGCGGTCACTTGCCGAAGCTCCACGCAGTCCCTCGGGCCTGGGGTTAGCTTACATACTACTACAACCATGGCTTCTTCGTGCGGCAACAGCTCAGCCTCTTCTACTTGGCCTGGATTCTTGTGTCGTTTTGAATTATCATTTCCTTTATCTTGATACCCTACAATCGCCATCTTCAGCGGTTCATTACAAGTCATCTTGCCATCATGGCTTTCGTGCAAAAGGGTCTCAAGAACATTCTCCAGAAGAATCCACATGATGTCGTCTTCCTCTCTGCCCTCCGGACTCCGGTAACAAGAGCCAAAAAGGGAGGTCTGCGCGATGCGTATGACCACGAACTCTTGGGAGCGGTACACCGCCCTCAATTATCCTGTGTACAATGTGCTAGGAACTAACGGGTTGGCAGGTCCTCAAAGCCACCATCAACAAGTTTCCGAATCTTGATCCAGCAAAGATAGACGACGTTTGCGTGGGCACCGTGCTCGCCGAGCTTGGTGGCTCTAAAGCCGGTCGCATGGCCGCAAACCATGTTGGCATTCCCACAACGACTTCCTTCAGCACCGTAAACCGCGCCTGTGCATCGGGACTATCTGCTATAACGTCAATCGCAAACTCCATCGCTGTTGGCCAAATCGATATTGGCATTGGAGGAGGTATGGAGAGCATGACACGCAACTATGGCAGCAGAGCTATACCTACAGAACTCTGGCCAGAGATGAAGGACAGCCCGGTCAAGGATGCACGAGACTGCATCATGAGCATGGGAATTACATCTGAGAATGTCGCGAGTCGATATGGCGTCACTCGAGCTGACCAAGATGCTTTCGCTGCGGAATCGCAAAACAGGGCTGCGAAGGCGCAAGCGAACGGATTGTTTGACGATGAGATCGTTCCGGTCACTACCAGATGGATTGAGCCCGAGGTACCGGAAAACCAAAAGCAGGTGACTGTCACCAAGGATGATGGAATTCGGCCAGGGACTACGGTGGAAAAACTGGCGACTATGAAGCCGGCATTTGACAAGAACGGTACAAGCACAGCAGGCAATAGCAGTCAAGTTTCGGATGGAGCGAGTGCAGCACTCATGATGCGCCGATCGACAGCAACGGCTCTCGGTCTGGAAAAGCAAATCATTGGAAAGTGGGCTGGGACACAGGTTGTCGGTTGCACACCTGATGAAATGGGTGTTGGACCAGCTCTTGCTATCCCCAAGCTCCTCGATTACACGGGCCTCCAGACATCAGACGTCAATGTTTGGGAGATCAACGAAGCTTTTGCGAGTCAGGCGCTGTACTGCATAAGGAAGCTAGGACTTGAGAACAAGATGGACAAGGTCAATCCTAATGGAGGTGCCATTGCACTAGGCCACCCACTGGGAGCGACGAGCGGCAGGATGCTTGCCACGCTCTTACATGAGATGGGTAGAAGTGGCGAGCAGGTGGGTGTGCTGAGCAAATGCATAGGTACTGGAATGGGCATGGCTAGCTTGATTGTACGGGAGTAGGGTATGTCAGAAACAAAAATTAAATCAATGATTGGGGTATCAAACGACTATGGTTTACAACGCCTTTAGGATGCATAAGAGTGACAACCTAGGCCTTGCTCTTTTTGCTCTTCTTCTTGGAGCGCTCCGCCAGAATCTCGTCCAAAAAGCTCTTTGGTTTGGTTTTTACTTTCTTGGGAGCTGGTTGTGCAAGCTCTACTTCTTCCTCCTCTCCCACTTTTTCAGACGACTTGTCCTCGACAGGAGTCTCTGTGGTAAGCTCATTTGTCTCCTGGTCTTCAGTCTTTGCGCCTGCTGCTAGCCTCTTTGCTCTCGTCTCTTCATCCTCATCGTCACTGTCCGGAATTTTAGGCGGCTTCTTCGCCTTCCGACCCTCTCTCTTTGACTTGAAAGTAGCGGCCCTCCCATCTTCTTCGTCGTCCGATGCCTCCTTCTTCACAACAGCAGGCTTGCTATATTGATGAGTTTTGGCCGCTGCACTCGGCCTCGCAGCTTCCTGTTTCGCCATGATATGAGTCTTGGCTTTTTTCTTGCCGATCAACTGCTGCAGCAGCTTGTCGTCTGACGTTAGTATCCTCTTGGTGAAGCTGCCATTCTCGACATCCTTTGGAAGTATACCGCCAAGACCAATTCTGAATATGAATATTAGCATGCGCAGTTGCAAAAAACAGTCGAATGGAGTGTCACCTGTCATGGGCGTAGTTTTGTTTGAGATCTTGATCATCCTCATCCTGAGGCGTCGCAGCACTGTCCCGCGTATCCCAGTCTGGCCGCGACCCGTAAAGCGAGGCCAAGAGCTTCTGACCCTTTGCTTCAAGAAGACTTATTCGATTGGCGATGACATCGCCCTCGTTATTTCTCTTTGACATTTCTGGCGCGGACTTATCCAGGGGCGCTTGAGATTTTGGTGCTCAATGCGACCAAGTTCCCGGCCGCGATATTTTTGAGAACCCGGTTCATTCTCGGCACGCTAGCAGACGTCCGCAACAGCCCTGTGAAGCAGCCGACATCAAACGGAGCTGTGCATCAAGAGCTTTCTCTCCCTCTAAACCCCCCCGCACATATACCCAAACGTGTGTCTGCGATTCCAGACATCATGTACAACCTTGCCCGCGCCCGGCCGCTGGCTCGCGCTGTTCGCGCTGCTGCTGTATGTACACACTCAATGGCTTCTCCCACGAGCTGCAGAAGGCTCTTGCACACCTGGCGCCCGCCCACCAACGAGCATGCAGTGCTAACCAATGCTAGGAAACACCACTGAAGCGCTCCGTCATCCAGCAAAGGAGAGGCCTCGCCATCCACGAATACAGGTCCGCGGCCCTGCTCGAGTCGGTACGAGTGCTCCGCTGCAATATCCCACTATTTGGCGGGCCTGGACATCTAACACGAACCCCAGTATGGCATTGGCGTGCCCAAGGGCGGCGTCGCTACCAACGGCGCTGAGGCTGAGAAGATTGCCCAGGACATTGGTATGCGCCAGCAAGAATAGACGGGCACTTTGGTTCTGGGGCTAATGTGTGCAGGCGGAGAGGACGCCGTCATCAAGGCCCAGGTTCTTGCCGGAGGCCGTGGAAAGGGAACCTTTGACAACGGCTTCAAGGGCGGTGTCAGGGTTGTCTACTCGTATGCTACCTCGTTCTACTGCAACACTACGGTCAGCTCTCTAACACAGTATGCAGTCCTCGCGAAGCAGCCATCCTTGCCGAGCAGATGATCGGCCACAAGCTCATCACCAAGCAAACTGGAGCCGCCGGCCGGCTCTGCAGCTCCGTCTTCATTGTCGACCGCAAGTTTGCTCGCCGTGAGTTCTACCTCGCCATCCTCATGGACCGCGCTTCCCAAGGCCCCGTCATTGTCGCTTCGTCGCAAGGTGGAATGGACATTGAGACCGTCGCGAAGGAGCACCCCGAGGCCATCATCACCACCCCCATTGACATCCACAAGGGCGTCACCGACGAAATGGCGCGCAGCATTGCGACCGAGCTTGGTTTCTCGGAGCAGTGCATCGAGGATGCCAAGGACACCATCCAGAAGCTGTACAAGGTTTTCATGGAGAAGGACGCTACCCAGATCGAGATCAACCCCCTCTCCGAGACTACCGACCACCAGGTCCTCGCTATGGACGCCAAGCTCAACTTTGATGACAACGCCGACTTCCGTCAGAAGGAGGTCTTTGACTGGAGAGACATTACACAGGAAGACCCCGACGAGGTCAAGGCCGCCAAGGTTGGTCTCAACTTCATCAAGCTCGATGGCGACATTGGCTGCCTCGTCAACGGTGCCGGTCTGGCCATGGCTACCATGGACATTATCAAGCTCAACGGCGGTGCGCCCGCTAACTTCTTGGACGTCGGTGGCGGTGCTACCCCCGAGGCCATCAGGCAAGCTTTCGAACTCATCACCAGCGATCCCAAGGTCACTGCCATTTTCGTCAACATCTTTGGTGGTATCGTCCGTTGTGACGCCATTGCCAAGGGTCTCATCCAGGTTGTCCAGGAAATGAACCTCAAGACTCCCGTTATTGCTAGGTTGCAGGGTACCAACATGGAGGCCGCGCAGAAGCTTGTAAGTTTTAAGACATCAGACTTCAAGATGGATATTTTTGCTAACGTGTCTGTGTAATAGATCAACGACTCTGGTCTTAAGATTTTCTCCATCGATGATCTCCAGGGTGCTGCTGAGAAGTCGGTCCAGTTCTCAAAGGTTGTCAAGATGGCACGTGATATCGACGTTGGTGTTGAGTTTACTCTGGGTATCTAAATGTTTATCTACAAGAGAAGACGCGTGTGGCCTTTGAGGCTTGTGCACAGCGCGGAAGAATATATTAGTTGCGCTGCATGCGTATGCTTGTGAGGAATCTTGTGCTTGTATGGTGGATTGTTTGACTTTTGTGAAGCTTTTGTGATTCTTGTAACCCTGAATCTTTTGCATTGTTGGTACAGAGCGGAATAGCTATACCTCGATTCGATAGGATTGAAATATACCCGACTACTACATACTTTTTGTTAGGCCCTGCTTTTACCATATGTTTCGACCATCATACTAACAACAAGAAGAGCGCTCTGTTCGGATGCAAAAGAGTTCTGTAGCATCTATCCATATTTGCAAACCAAGCTATTCTTCTACAGATCATTTCAGGTAATATATGTGGCCACTTTCATAGAGCCAATTCCGTTCTCAATATACTGTCTTTCCCCTGTTCCTTACTAGATGCGAACTTGCAAGAAGGTCGTACAAACATATCAGCATTGAGATGAAGTCCACAAATACTTCCATGCAAGCTATTTCATGATGAAAACATGACATCTCCGGATAAATGACTTGCAGGTGGAATCAAATGTACAAGTAGACCTTTGAACACATTAGGCCACCTGCGCCATCTCAGATTCTGTAACCACGCAAGGATCCACCTGCACTAACTCCCAATAGGACAGAACCAGCATCCTACGTGCCGGCTTTTTGAACGGGCAACCGCTCGACGCGGCACAGCACTGTAAGCGGTGCATACCAAGGCAGCGGTTGCAGACAGAACGTAGGATGCAATGTGGGACATGCAAGATCAGCGGCTGCATCCCTGCCCAACAGGTGGAGATGTTAGAGGAAGCGATGATCAAAGAGTATTTTAAAGCCAGGTGGATCTTAGAAAAAAGAAACGTCTGACGGATTTCACATCACTCTTTTGGATTTATCATAACGTTGTTTTTACCCTACAATTCGATTTCGATATCCAAATATGGCACCGAATCTAAGTGACCTCCCAAAAGACTACTATGTCAAAGCAATGCAATTCACAAAACGTGCGCATCAAGATGCGTATCCAGCGATTGATCCAAGTCTGCCAGAACACAGCTTAGCAGGCAAAGTCGTCATCATCACTGGAGCTTCACGCGGAATCGGGGCTACGGTACGTCCAAAAAAATACCGATTGTGCATATCGTACATCACACTCGAAACTAACACCTATCTTCGAAAAAAAAATAGGCAATGGTGCCAGCATTCATCAAAGCCGGAGTCAAAGGCATGGTCCTCCTCGCATCCAACGCCGCCAAACTATCCACCGTCGAAGCCTCTGTAAAAGAAGCCAATCCCGCAATCGAAACACTAACCTGCGCCGCCGACATCTCCAACTCGCAAGCGGTAGAAAAAGCCTTTGAAAGCATCAAGCAGCGCTTCGGCCACGCAGACATCCTCATCAACGCCGCAGGCGTCCTAACCGGCGACGGACCCAAACTCCACGAGACAAACGTCGACGAATGGTGGAAGAACTTTGTACGTTTCATTTCCCCTTTTCCAAACCCCGTCTACACCAGGCCAAAATTTCGAAAACACAATCCCCCCCTTCTTCCCCTTGATCACCCGACTAAAATGATCCATATAGGAAGTAAACGCAAAAGGCACATACCTCCTAACCCGCTCCTTCCTCTCTCTCCTCCCCACCCCCTCCTCGTCCACCCCAGCCACAATCCTCAACCTCAGCTCCTGGCAATCCTTCTTCACCGTGCCCGCCGTGGGTGGCTACCTCATGAGTAAATTCGCCGTCGACGCCCTCGCCGTGTACGTCGCCGCAGAGTATCCCTCCGTAACCGCCATTTCCATGCATCCAGGCTTGGTAGCTACGGATATGCTCCGCGAGCCGTTTGGCTCGCTGTTTAACAATGATAGTGCTGAGTTGGTGGGGGGCACGGCCGTGTGGGTTTGTCAGGAGAAGGCGAGGTGGTTGAGTGGGAGGTTTGTGAGTGTGAATTGGGATGTAGAGGATTTGCTGGAGAGGAAAGGCGAGGTTTTGGAGGGGGGTTTGTTGAGGTTGGGGGTAAGGGGCGAGTTTGGGATGTAAGATGGTGGTGATGAGAGGGGTATTGGAAGGGGTGATAAAGGCGATCAGGGTATACATGCATGCGATACTGGTTGTGTTTGGTTACTTTGTGTGGTACTTGAGCCCATCTGTTTCGCCTTTGAGCTGTGGAATCGCTTGTCATGTCATCCTTACACAGGATTGTGCTTCGAATTTTCTGTTGCTGACTGAAGAAGCATGCTTCTTTTGCCTTGATATGTAGATGCTTAGGTCCACTGATTTTTTTTCTTTCTGAATTTAATATTCAAGGCAAGATTCCCCCACCTTATTCATCTCTCCAATCCTTCTTAAATCATTTCTTCTCCCCCTGAACACTCTTTCCCCCGGCTTGCGTCGTATCCCCAACAAATTTCCCTGCCGCTACATTCACCAAACCGTCAGTCTCCACATTCTCTTTCAAACCCCCCCACCTGCTCTCGATACAAACGTACCTTTTGTCGTCTCCCCAACCCCAGACGTAACGCCCGTCACCGCATCTCCCAACCCTTTACCACCGGCTGATACTACGTTCCCCGTTGTATCGGTTATGCCTTGGACGCCTTTTCCGACGGTGTTGGTTGCGGCGCCGAGCGTGTTTCCTGCCAGTTGTTGTTAGCATGGCGAGTTGGGAAGGGTGGACAAGGAGGGTAGGGAGGTGGGTTGACAACGAGGCGTTCGGTTAAGCAGTGGGTGAAGGGAATAAGATGAACGAGGTGAAGAGAAAGAGAAAGAGAAAGATCAACATACCCAATCCACTCGCCGCCGTTCCAAAGAAACCTATCACGCATCAGCCTCTCTCTTCCTCTCTCCCCAAAACCAACTCCACCCCCCAAACCCATAGCCAAGTGCAAAAGCTTACCTTTCTGCTGCTGCTGCTCGTTCTGCTCAGCCATATTGATCTTATGTAAACTGTCGCTTTTTTCGAATCGCGTATTATTCTCCCTTTTTTGCCCCGTTCAGAGAAAGAGAATCAATTGAAAAAGTAATGTCAGAGGTTAAGTGTTATGGACCTCCGGCAGCAATCACGACTTATACCCGTTTGCAGACAGGGGTTGATCTCATGTTCAGTTGATATGACGTAGCCTTATTCCCTGGTCCCTGCACGTCTTTGGCCCCCCTCCTTCTCCTCCCGCCCCCCATTATTTTTATCTCGTCGATCTTCTTTGCATGGTAATTAAATCACAACGTCACTTTGCTTGCACAGAGCACATTGCCCCCCCCTCTCCCCTGGCCCCGGTTTGGACTCAATTGGAGGTGGAAAGTTGAGTACCTTCGACACAGCGACAACCACATTCATCACGATCAACACAATGGACGCAATCTGTGAATAGAACAAATGCATTCTAACTAGAGCAAACGAGAAATAATACATCGCAGTTTTCATCCTCCGTCATTCCATACTAGCCTTTTGTTCAACCACATAAAATCCTGCTTCTCGTGACCCAAGTCATTTTTGGTTCGCAGGTTGCATGCCTAAGCAATGTCTGCTATCGTCGGCACCGCACTATCAAGCTACCCACTTTTCGTTTGCAAAAAAAAAGTGAGAATGAGGAGAAGAAGAAAGAAGAAAAGTACATCGAGGTTGCGGAAATCGGAAAGAGACATTGACAGGAGAAAACGGCATCCCTTCTACCTGTCCAACCCTACCCCATCATGACAGAAAGAGATGACAAACTTGAGGAAAACGGTGATGCAAAATCAGAGCCCCGGGATACCGCCCATGACGCTTATGAAAAGCGTGCAATTTGGACCTCCTTCCCTCTTTATATCCGGAACGCCGTCGTGTTTGGTAGTGCCGTGATAAACATATGTGAAGAAAAGTCGAAGCTTTTTTAAAAGGTCACCCGTGAGAGATTGAGAACCCAAACCCATCTGGAAACGACCTAGTGCTCGACAACAAGGAAACTTTTGGAATCCACCAATCTTGAAAAGCTGTAGTAAGGAAACCCTGCAAAATGCAGAACAATGCGCGCTGACATGCCCCCATCTATGCAACGAAACAAGCGATTAGATTACCGCGTGCGGCATGGTCTAGGGGTATAACCGTCACGCGCCTGAATGAAGAAAGGTAATCACTCGGATGACTTGGCCTCCGCCTCGGCAGAGTTCTCTTCTGGAGCTTGCGACGAAGAGGCTGCCTCGCCGGCGTCTTCGTTGCTAAGGGCTGCTAGCGCACTGTCATGATGTTAGTACGGACCTTTACATGTTGACCAATACAAGTACTTACCTGAAAGCATTTGCATGGGCATTCGAGTCCTTCTCCTTCTGCACGGGTGGAGTGCCAGTGCGCGAAGAAGCTCCAGAGTCGTCACCACCACGACCCATCATGCTGGGGCCGAGACCACGACGGCCACTACCGCTGCGGCTGCCGAGCATAGACGGACCAAGTGCTCCGGCATTGTTGAGGTTGCGGCCAGAAGCGCCCTTGGAGAGCTTGCGGAGATCATCCATCTGTACACGGCTGCCAGTGTCGGGCGGCGGCTGCATGCCAGCACCAGAGAATGAGCGGGCATCGCCACGGCCCATTGGCAGACGGCCACCACCACCGCGCTGGTTCGAACGTGTGCGCTCCATCTCGGCAGCCTGCTGAGCGGCCATGGCCTCTTGATGGATCTCAGCAATAGTCTTGGGGCCCTTGAGATTGTCCTTGGACTTCCATCCAGCCTTGCGCAGATCAACAGTGTCGAGCAACATGAAGCGCATACGCGAAGGAAGACCCTCCATATTCATGACCTTCTCGATACGCTCAAAGTACATGTTGATCATCTTGGGGCCAGCCTCGGCAGACTCCATAGTTGCACCAACAGTGCGGAGCAGCTTGACCAAGCTCTCAATGGCAGCTTCATCAGGAAGGCCTTCAAAGTCAAGAAGCTTCAGTACACACTCGTGCATGATTCGTAGCGTCAACATGCCGAGCTTGTACAGCTCTCCGATAAACTGGATCAGACCGAGACCCTTACGCTTAGCAGCAGCGGCAACGTAGTAGTCGTCTGAAAGCAGCTTGGCCTCCTTGCCGTCCTCGGGAGCGTCGGGAAGGTTGACTTCCCAACCACGCTCGAACTCTTCCTGACAGCGGTTGAGAAGGTACTTTCGGAAGAGAGCACCACCAACCACAGGGTTGTCATGCTTGTCTCGGACGTTCTCATCCTTGATTTCTGTGCTCATGGTCTGCAGCATGCGACTGCAGAACTTGGCATACATGGAAGACCAATGGCTTTCGTCACAGGCCTTTTCGAACGTGAGCTGAATGACTTGGCGGAGCGTGCGGCCGTCAGTCTCATCCTTGGATTGCCCAGCAATCTCGAGAATCTGGTCTGAAATCTTGTCGAACTTGTCGGGTGTCATCTTGTTGAGGGCAGCCTTGACCTTACGCTGGACCATGTCAGGAGGCATGTGGCCTGAAGGCGGCGCGGCTGCTGCGGGCGCAACGATCGATTGGGGAACCCATCCAGTTTGCGAGCGTTGGAGGGCCTTAACCTCCTGACCGGCAGTAAGAGGCATGGCCTTGGCTTCTGAAGCAGGGTTGTTGTTGCCACCGCGGCGGCTACCGCCTCCCTTACCACGAGAGCTTCCAACACGAGGAGAGTTGGGTCCGTGGGGCATGCTCTGGTAAGAGCTGGTACGAACCATTGGGGGTGCCATAGGGAATGCGCCACCACGTCCACCACCTAGAACGACATGAGCAAGAGGGTTCGTCATAGAGCCACGTCCACCTTGGGCTTGCTGGAAACGCTGTTCGGATGTCGTACCTGGTGGGAGTGTTCGGCCTCCCAATGAGCCGCCTTGGCCAAATGTGCCCATGCCACCACCACCTCCGGCGCCGCGAGAGGGCTGTCGTCCGCCGCCGATCATGGAGCCAGGGCGAGCCGATGGAGGACCGCGAGCCGAAGCAGGCTCATCACCAACAGTCTCCTTCAGCTTCATATCCCAGTCAACAGAAGGCTTCTCCTTGAAGACATCCTGGAACTGGAGCAAAAAGTCCTTGTCGTACTGGCGACCCTTGCTGCGGTTGCTGTTGTTCAGAGCCGGGTTAGGGCTTGAAACGCCTTGCGGGTACTGAATCTCGTTGCGGACTTCGAGGAAGCGTGCAGTCTTGAGTGCTTGCATACCAGCAGTTGGCTGAGCGGGTTCAACAGACTTGTTGGTCTCAAGTTTGAGAGCAGCTGGCTTAGGCTTTGTGCCAGTCGGTGTCTTGGAGGGCGCAGGAGCGGCCACAGGGGCAGGCTCTGCTGGTTCCTCAGTCTGCGAGGCACCAGGACCAAACATGGTGTTCTTCTTGAGGCTTGCGAAGAGCTCCTTATCCTTGGCCTCGCGTTCGGCCTTTTGTTCTGGAGTCTCTGCTGCACGAGCTGCTTCGGCCTCTTCGGCCTCACGCTCGAGCTTGCGAAGGCGCTCTTCCTCTTGCTTGATCTTCTCGGCAGCGTTGGCCTTTTCGGCCTCGGCCTTTTTCCTCTTCTCTTCAGCATAGCGCTTCTCGTCCTCTTCACGCTTCTTCTCTTCTTCCTCCATTTCGGCAATCATGCGCTCCATCTCTTCATCTTCCTTACGCTTCTTCTCTTCTGCGTCCAGCTCAGCCTTCTTGGCGGCTTCAGCTTCCTCCTTCTGCTTAGCCTCGAGGGCAGCCTTGGCCTCTGCCTCTTCCTTGGCAGCAAGCTTAGCGCTGGCCTCAGCCTTTGCCTCGTCTTCACTGGCCTCCTTGGCCTTCTTCTCAGCTTCTTCCTGGAGACGGAGCTTCTCTTGGAATTGCTTGACAAAGTCGGCCTTTTTAGCGGCAGTGTCTTCAGCGCGAGTGGTATCGGAGGCGCTTGGTGCGCGAGGAGGAGTGGGAGTGGCGGCAATGGCTGGTGACCTGGGAGCAGCAGGTGGAGCAGGTGCGGTAGCAGATGGGGCGGGTGATGAGCCCTTGCCCTTGTTGAAGTCAACAACCTCACCGTCGGCAGTCTTGATAACTATGGCCTTGCTTTGCCTCTTTGGACGCTCGAAGTTTGTGGTGGGTGCTGGGCTCGCCGATCCCATGCTGGGCGTGTGTGTGTGCGAGATATGATTAACGTTGGTCATCGCAGGGGTAGATGGCTGTGGAACAGCAGACGATGGGCGCTCCGACATGTTGGAAGGCGTACGGGACATGCTCTGAGCCTGGGGTTGGTGGCCGTAGGGTGCAACACCGTAAGGAGCCGGCTGCATTTGCGGAGGGAAGGCGTGGCCACGACCGGGACTGGCGGGGACACCTGGATAGTGGATGGACTGCTGTAGTCCGTAGCCCTGACCTTGAGGGTAGAAGTTGTTGTACGGATCAAGGCCAGGTTGCGGCATACCGTACATGGCCTATATTGATATGACGGTTAGGAAGGGTTTGGTGTGGTGGGGGGTTTAAAAAAAAAGATGGAGGGGTGGGGAAAAAGCGAGAAAAATTGTTGGGCAACATTGAAAGAATGTTTGAAAAAAGGCTCTTCGTCATTCGCTGGCCAACGGTATGAGAAAATAAAAAATGTGGAGAACTATGGTTCAGTGGAAGATAATCGGATTGGAAACCAGAAAACAGAGAAAATGATTGGGGGAGGTAAAAATGGGAGATGGTGTACACACCTGCTGAGCATAGGGCTGTCCTTGGTAATATGGCATGCCCTGTGGATTGGCAAACTGCTGTTGCGTATGCATAGTAGCGGGCGTCATGGCGGGGCTGCGGTTCTGCGTGTATGGAGAACGCTGCGCCATCTGGCCTGGAGGCTGGAATGGCGGGGTCATACCGCGACCCATTTGTTGAGGCATGGAGCGGTATGGCTGTGGCGAGTGGTTTGCCATTTGTGGGTTGTAGTGTCCTTGCGGGTACCCACCACGGCCGCGGCTAGGAGGGTAGCCTCGACCCATGTTTGCATTGCTCATGTCGCTGTGTGCAGACTGGGAGGATTCACGGCGCAGATGTTGAGCCTGAGGAAGCGAATGCGAGTTGGGTTGAGGGGGCATGGTAGGGCGAGCCTGTATGTGGATTAGCATGTGAGGCTGAAAATGGTGGGGGCCGTATCCGAAGCAAAGCGCGGACTTACGTTTGACTCGGTGCCTTCACCGCCTTGACCACCAAACACCAGATTTGGTCGAGTGGGCAGACCGTCAGGCTTGGGGCCGCCAGAAATGGGTGTAGGAATGGGTGAGGGTGAATGTGCTGGAGAAGCAACGCGTGGATTCTGTGCCTGGGGGTTCAGGTTTCCCTGGACTACGGGCGAGGCGTGGGCAGGCGCTGGGGAGGCGGCGAGCGATCCGAACTTGATACCGGAGGGGGGGCCGCCTGCAGTGGCGATGGGCGGAGTCTGCTTGATCTGAACAGAGGACTTGCGCTCGTGGGCGTTGGCGCTGCCGTTGGGGCCACCGCTCACAATGGTGGGCATGGCGGGAATGGCGGGCTTGATGGCACTGTTGCCGTTCACCGGGGAGACAGAGGAGCTCTTTCCATGCTGCGCGCTCTGAGGTGCTCCCACTGCCACGGGTGGGGTTGCGCTAGACACGATTGCAGGCTTGGTCGCGTTTGCGTAAGAGCTCCGGGCAGCGGGTTGCGCCGATCCAGCGGCCACGGTGGCGGACGATCCTGAGGAGGAGTTGTTCGCGGTCGTAGTCGAGGAAGCGGCGATGGGCGGGGTCTGCGAGTTGGAGATGGAATTACTCATGGACTCGGTGATGGCGGTGGGAGAGGCGGGGATGAGGATGCGGTCGGCGGGCTGGACAATGGGTTTTGATGGATATTCGCGGATGACGTTGTCGCGGGAATCCCAGATTCGAGCGAGGGGGCGGGGTGGGTTCTGCGGTATTAATGAGTTGCTGGCAACAGCGACTCGGGGCGGAGCAGAAAAGAGTGTCTTTTGGATGAGGCAAAGGGCAGAGGTCAACTCCTTTACACAGGGCGTTGGAGGCTGTCCGAGCGCTTCAATGAAGAAGGAGTCTCGACAGGATTTCCGTGTCCGGATTGGGGTGGGGGGGGATGGACTTCGACGAATAAATTCGTGAAACCAGCAAGCAAGCGGCTCTTGTGATGATCACCGAGTCCGCTGCGTGTCGAGTTAGTAGATGTTCTCGCTATGGAGAGACGGGTGTGAAGAGGGACGGCGGTTGGGCTCTTTCGAAAATTGTTTGAGTGCCAGGCTAAGCCGCAACAAGGATGTTGGCCTAGCCGAGCCCTTGAACGTCAGCCCCAACACCTGCGCCCACCACGTCCAAACCGCGGTTTGCTGTGACTGCATCTCTGCATGTGCTTGCCGTTGAAGAGTCACGACGTTGTCATTGCAGCATTGGATTGAGAGGGCCATTGTTGAGGGGCCATGGCGGACAGCACGAGCACTTGTGTCTTGATGCATCCGATAAGGCAGGCGGGGGATGGATAATGGCATGCCATAGTAGTGTCGCCTCTCCCACTCTGCCTCGCCACAACATCGACCAAGCACATATGTACATATACATGCAGTAGCGCATACTGTGTACATACGTACTGTGTTGAGCCCTGCTGTTTCGGAGGACGGATGCCTCGTCATGAAGCGTTCATTATCATAGGCATTGCTCTTGTGGTTTTCCCCCGCAGTACGACTTTTGCTGATGCTCTGCCAACGTGTGCTCCGCAAACCCCAGGTCGCACAACTGGGCACAGGCGCTGGCTGTCATGGAGAAGAGAAGCAACAGGCAGCACCGCAATGGTCACGACGACATGCAGGCCTGGCCAGTCATACAAACGCTGCAGCAAATGACCCCGCGACGGCAGGACGCAAAAACATTGGTGACTGGAGGAGTACTGACGTCTTGTATCGCGGCCCATGCACAATGACGCCCGAATATAGAAAAAAAAAACAGGCATTCACGTGAAAGGACAAGTCCGGTTAACCCCGGCATCATGTGAGGTCAGCCCTTGTGCTGTTGCCACAGTGCGGTGCACTTGGTTGCGCCTCCCATAGTCAGCTATCAGGCGCTGTGCTACTATGTCGCTGCTGCCTGCCTAGAATACGGATTCAGGCGCACACATGATGTACGGACTGACTCTGAGGACGAGTCAAACGTCTGTCGTATACGTATGCGAGCCGTAGCTGGTGGACTGAAAAGATGCGTTGGTATTCACGAATAGGAAGAGCAGGAAGTACTGATACGAACCGATACGAAGTGATAGCTGGTTGTTGTTGTAGTAGTAGTAGTAGTAGTAGTAGTAGTAGTTCCTCCCCCTTTGAACATGTGTTCAGTCTGCTCACAGCTAAACTGGTACTTTCCCTCTACTTGCGGTCATCCCTACTACTGACGGCGGGGTAATAGATTCTACTAGATTGTACTAGCATTAAATTGGCGCACATGTGTTGTGGGCTGACTAAGGCAGTCGGCGTGAAGCACGTGGCGGCCTAGTGCCTGGACAGTCAGCAACGGCACTCAGCACTCTATCCTCTACGCATTACGTGCAGAGTGTGGAGTGCCCAAGTGCGCAATGCGGAGTGCGGAACGCGGAGTGCAGTCGTGAGGCACAAACACCCAACTACTATGGGGGGAGAAATAAAGTTACGTGCCACAGGGAGACGGCCGGCTAGCACAGGAGCCGACAGTAGATAGCAAAGTACCGTCATGCAACTTGCCCTGTAGTGCCATTGCCTCTACCTGGCCTGCGGGTTTGCAGGCCTCAGTAACACCGCAGGAGCACTGTCGTGGCATAAACAGCTCCCGAACGCGGCGCTTCCTGAAACCATGCCCGAGGTCGAGATGCACCAAGCTGTTGAAGGGAAGGACCTTGGTGGTACTTTTATATTTGGTACGAGTCTTGGGCCGGGAGGGTGTTGGCTTGGAGGGACACACGTGATTGGCCAGGCGCCCATGAATAAGACGAACATGGCCTGGCGGGGGTGCGACAGCCAGGGCAGAGACACCTAGGCATGACTGCGCTGGCATTTCTGCCTCCCCCGTCAATCTTGGCTCAATCACGTCCTGCCCCGCGGTTGAGGCTGGTGGGAGGTGTGGGGGAGATTGCATGTCGCAGAGTGTGCCGTGCGGGCCTTTGACTTCTTGTTGCGAGAGCAGAATTTGGCCGTCTGGAGCTTGTACCTAGCAAGCAGCAGTACTAGGAAATCCCACCTCTCATACTAGACGTGGGCGTCGGCGCTTGGTCAACCTCGGCGAACAGGCGCTACTCGCTGCTTCTGAGGCAGAAAAGCCGCCGGCTGTGGCAGCAAAGGGCCCCTAGGCCTGCATCTTGAGGCGAAAGCCCAGTTTTTAACATGTGCCAGCTTCCGCATGTCGTATCTTGCTCCGCCCCCGAGCGGCGTCGAGTCAGAAGGTTTGTGGCCGATGGCGCAAGCCTGCCGTCGTCAGATCGCTGGCCGCTGCTGGTAGCCTCGTATTCGTCAGTGATCGCCCTGCGCCGTACGCAAACCCCAACGGCTGAGGAACCACATCTCGGGCACTAACAGCGCCTCGCAATCCTTTGGCGTTTACTGCTACCATTGGTAGATGACATGTCAACGCGAACGCTGTCTCGATAGCCCTGTCTACTTTGCTTTTTGCTTGCTCTACCTAGACGCCGGCACATTGACGTACGTACGCATATGTACCTGTGTAGGTAGTAGGACGGGCGCAGTGGGAAGAGAGGGGGGGGGGGGGTGGGTTTGGCGCTGCAGGCGGGAGATGAGTGCTTTTTTTTTGCTGGCTTGCATCGTCGCGTCCCGCCCTTTTGCTTCTTCGCCCTGCCGTTGCTGCATCGTCAGGCTTCGACTAAGTAGGTGAAGGTGTAGTGTACCGCCCCCGACTACACGCCAACCGCTGGCCGCAAAAAGCATGGATGCCCAATGGCTGGCATTGGCCATGCGCGTCAGCCTTTTTCAATACCTCGCTGCATCTCGCTTCCCGCCCGACAGGTGTAGTTTAGTACAACTACAACAACAGCTACACCTACACTACACCTACGCCTAGTCGAGGTACACACTTGACCATCATGACGCCAGCGCTACCAAACTTCGCCGCATCCCTGTCCGCCTGTGGACCGAGCGGTACACCCTCACCTCGCTCCACCGAGTCCACGTGACTAGCCTTTCGCTTTTGCGGTGCAATGCGAGCCATCGACGTCGACTCCGCTCCCAAACAGGAAACCGACCACCACACGTCATGTTGGTCCAGCCGCGCATGCGGAACCGAGGACCGGTTGCAATAGCATTGTCTCCCAGGGCTGACCTTCCCACGCCCCCAGCGTCCCGCTCGCCTTTTCCCTTTCCACCATCCACCCTCCACCACACATACTCATGCATCGCTCGACGATCCCCTTGGGCTTCTCCAAAGCCAAATGCCGTCAATGGGTCAGTGTGCTCGCAACCCCAGCTTTGAGCCGTACATGCATACTATACACACGCACACGTACATATGTACTCCGCATTCTCCTCACGGGTGGGTAAAAGTTCCTGTCGAACCAGCGGGTATTCAGCCGGCATGGCTCGCAACCACTTGCCCATTTGCACGGCCCCTTACTCATCTTCAGGCACGTCGTTCCGGGTTCCTTGGTCTTTGATGCCGCGCGCCTTACTCCCATGTACCTGCACCACGAGCCCACCCTTCATCTCCTACTACGGACAATAAATTTGGTTGCCGCCATGTCCGACTTGGAGTAAGCTTTCCAGTGGCTGTGCCTAGAGGCAGCACGACACTCTTCGTGAATAAAGGCACCCCGCGTATGACAATGTGGTCAACCTCCACTGCACCCAAACGCAGCTACAAGGATGGCACCAGCCAACGCTCGTGCTTGCAGCACCAGTAGCACATGATGCGCTCCGCACAACGTGAACGGTAGCTATCGAGCCTCGAGCCGGAATCGCGTACCGCATCGCCACGTCCGTGTCCTGGAGACGAGGTACCATGACACTAGCTGGGCCTTTCTTTTGCTAGACTATGGTCCTTCCTTGTGTCCTGGGCCCACTTGAAACCTCCGTTTATTTGCATTTCTTTGGGCCATCATGGCTCGGCCCTTCGTCGACGTCTGTCCGAGGCTAACAAGCTTTGAATCCACAATGACAAGCTGCTAGGACTGTCCCTAAATAACGCCTATCACACCGCCACCGGGAGCGATGCATGGCCACCCTCGTTGCACTCTGAGCGAGGCCCAGTAAGCAAATCCATCCACATCACATGCATCGCCTTACCTCCCACACCAAGATATTTCTACGGCTCCTCCTTCGTCCGCTTGCACTATCCGCCTTCTCCCGGCACAACCATGTACTATGCTCTTACTCTTGTTCTCATCCCTGACCACACTCGCGAGCCTTCTCGAACGACCATCCTGGTAAGGACAAACCGCACCCGAATCACCCAATTCGCCCGCCTATTCTACCCACGCTAGCAATGCCCAGCCCGGATTAAGCCTAAGATCTGGCCGCTGTCTGTCTTTACTAGCTTTGGTTCTTGGGCCGAGGCATGCAACCATCTCGTCACTCCGAGGTGCGTGATGCCAGCAGCAGTCGTTAATAACTCTAATCCAGTTAAGATCCCCACCTAGCATTATGTTCCTCGCGATATGCACACCCCTAGCTAAGATGATGCCAACCAGAACGCCAACCGTTACAAGAGACTGGAATCTCAGCGAACATCACGCAACCACCTTACTCTGGGGCGTCTCCCCCCCCCCCCCCCCCGGCCTTATGCCCACCATCATCCATACCTGACTTGCATGTCTGTGGCGCATGCGTTGTCCCTCTACTAGTCTGCTCTGGCCTGCAGCTCTAGCCCGAGCCTATCAAGACGGAATCCACCGACCCCAGGTATTCTTCCCCGCATAATGCACAGTGATCTTGCAAAGGACGGGAATTACGGGTGTGCATAACTGTGTGACTCGAGAAGAGACAGGAAAAAATAATAATGGGTCAGACGGGTACACTGCAGCAAAAATCGCATTGCACTATACGGCGTGCATGTGTTTTTTGTTCAATTCCGCCCTGTCCACGTTTTGACAGATGCTGCTGTGCCACCAGTCCACAACATCTCCACAGTTTCCAAGCGGCTGTTGAATCCATGCGCTCGAACACCCGGGCCCGGCAGATGTGAGGCCCAAAAGAGAAAAGATATGTCCATGACTGCCTGTCCAGGCATTTTGGTACTGGTCCTATTTTCCAATTCGCCATGGTCCTTGCGTTATTCTATCCACTTTACCCATCAAGTAATCTACCATGTAAGTAGTATGCGCAACGACATCGGTACCAGCAACAACAAAACAAGGCCACTAACTGATGCTGCTCCTGCCCCTGTGACATGAAGTAGCACCAGGGCAAAATCCTCAGAGTTCAAACTAATGCAAGCCCGCATGCAATAACACATGCACGTAACCAAGTCTTTTGCCTGCCTCAGCCCAGCAACCCCGCGGTTCCTGAGCCTCAGAAGCCGAAATTAACATGCACCTCTAGCTCATCCTAGTCTGGGGTAAGAGAATCCAAGTGTGGAGTCAAGACTAGCTACCCATGTGGTGTCTTCTTTTCCCTTTCAGCCGCTTCCTCGTTCCACATGGCTTCTCTTTTCTTTCTGTCTGTAACATGGCGTTCTTAAGCGTATCCTCATATACCCTCCCCGGCCGCCGATTACAAGCCATCAGTGGATCACTGCAAAGACTGCAGCATCAACACACCACACGCGTGTGTAGGTCATGCGCAAAGGGGATAATAACAGCGGATCTATACTTTTGGCGTGAGTGCGAGTGTGTGTGTGAGTGGAGCACAATGGAAGGCGAAAAACCAGCTAGAAGTTTGTGGAGAAGAGCCCGCTTGGTCGAATAGGCCGGTTAACAAGCGGCGAAAGAGAGGGGAAGCGTGGTTTGTTCGTAGAAGGTTTCTGGAAGAAGAGCTAGGTCGATCAGGGTGGTACTACGGGTAAGGTCGTTTGAGATTTTCTCTTCCCCAGTGACTGCGTGCCTACGCGTACGTACGTACGTACGTAGGGATATGCTGGTTTGGCAATGATTTCTCCTATAGCATGGGCAAGGCAGTGGTAGTAGTGGTGTGCTCTTGGCCGATCTTATTATCCTCTTGTTTTTGAGGTGGTGTATTGATGACAGTAAGCTTGGGTCGTATCTATCGGCGACTTGTGAGGGAGACGACACATACCTGAGCTTTTCTCTCGTCTAGATACGGTCATCTCTATGTCCTAGACTGACTTATGATTTCCATTAGCACCGCGCTCGCCGCGGATATCCATAATCCACCGTTCTGAGCAAGACGTCTGCATCGGTCAAACAAACTTGGGCTGTGCATACCCGGTACTTTGCCTGTTCAATCTGATAGCCCCTCACCCATTCATCCGCCCAACCATGACATCCCACTACGCCCTCTGCCCTTGCACTAGTCTCCCCCTCCCTCGCAGCCAAACCCCATCAACTCGCCAAGCGTCCCGCCCGGGACCTCGGGCAAATGCCATTGCGAGATGAGCGTTACATGGTTTGACGTGGATGGTCAACTCACAAGCGCCGGACCCCGAATCCTTCTTCGCACCACAGCCGCATGGTCCCCACCCACACACACACACACACATGGACCTTTGCTGCAGCAAGAATAAAAGAAAATGCAAATAGGAAAGACGATGAGTACTTGCTAGCGAGTCATACACGCACGTCATGCCTTTTGCGACAAACGACATCGGAACGAAGTAGCATGCGTTCCGTAAGGTAATTGCATCTTGCTAGAGAGGAAAAAAATATTGTTGCATCGCGTAGACGTGCGACGTTGTAGTGCTCCTTGGACAATGTCCTTCCTTAGCAAAAACCGGGCCCGCGCCTCGGGGTCTCGCCAAACCGTCGCCTACAGTAAAAATACCCAACAACACGGACAAGATGCCCTAAAAAACAAAACAGACCTCCGAGACTTACAACACACAAGTAGGACCGGCCAAGTACCTTACCCATGTCCTCAACTGTCCATTTTTCCGCCCGAGGTTTTGCCCTTTTGCACTAGTTTGGTAACTTAGCGAAAAAAACGTGGGTGCAATTCTAGGCCATAAACGTAGTAGTAAACAGTAGTAGTAGGTTAGTACCTGCTGCGTATAATATCCAAAACCAAAACAAAAGCAAAGAAAGAACCACCGAACTCGCCGCCCGGACCGGCGTTTTGGCCCACCCTGTTACAAGCCGTCTTTTTCGCCCGGCACGCCAAAATCAAAAAAAGAAAACAGCCGGGCACTGCCACGAAAAACAGACAGATAATCGCATGACTTTGGGCGTATGTACTGAAACCATACACGCCCCCTCCCCATACCCAGAAAAGAGAGTCTGTGTTGGTGCGTGCGTGCGTTGCGTGATTTTTAACGTCATGGACTTCAACGGAATTAGGGACACGCCAGAAAACTCAAAGCAAAAGACATGCACAAAACAAGTCATAGACAATCCAAAATGGGATTCCTAGGGTCCAGGGTGTCCGAGCGTAACCATCTTCGCATTGTATACCAAAAGCAAAATAAAAACGTGTAAAGAACTACTATATACTACATCCCACGTGTACCCATCCACAACCCACTATTCGGCATCTGCATAGCGATATGACATGGCAACAAACAAAAAAACAAAAATTAGCTAGACCAGCCCTACATATCGTACCCACAATAGCACCTATCTCTACCATCTCTATAGCCCCAAATCCAAGTCCGAGTTCCAAGTTGGAATAAACTAAGAAACAAACCAAGAGTCCCAGTACCCACCCCCATGTCCTTTTCCCAAATGCACCTTCCGAGTCAACTTGCCCCTGCGCCCCCCCCCTCTCTCTCTTCCCAAGAAACAGGTAAATAAGTCAGGTACATACATACATGCCCTCATCTATTCGCACCGAAGAAACCAGGATTATCGTTCCCAACCCCAACCCCCAGACCTGTTGCAAGTAACTATGTAGCCGCCCGAAACAAGAATTGTCCCGCCCAACGGCCGCAGCAAACCAAGTGTCTTGGAAGGGGGGGAGATATAGTCCCCCCCACACACTCACAGACCGAGTCGTATAAAACAATACATACACAAGGGAATGAATCGAGATAAAAGTGGAAAGTGGTGTGAGGGGAGGTGGTGGGGGGAAAGGCTCTACTACGGAGAAAAGTTAGGAATATCGGTG